CTCCAGCATCCTTGGCTCCTGGGAACTGCTGTTTTAAGCAGCTAACTTTGGGAAACAATGTGTTACACAGTGGGGTTGCACCATGTTCAGGAGCTTTTTTTTTTTCCTAGTGGAAAAGGGAAATTGCTCAGTCATTGACAAGAGCTACACCACCATCAGCTTTTGTCTCGTGAAAGGCTCACTTTGGCTTCTACATGTATGAAAAACAGTTTGAAGACGGCCAGAAGTCGAAGTGAGAAACATTTCGGAGGCTGAGTCAGTCATGACACACTGGCTTACATGTACCTGGGATTCCCAAGCAAAGTTTAGTTAAACAGTAAGCTTTTAGTATTTCAACTTGTAAGAGGTTCTGGTGTATGTAGGCTCCAGGGCAGTTAATCCCATGCTAATATCCTGAGAACCTTACCTCCTTTTGTCCCCGCCTTGCTCGACTTGTAGTGTTGACTTTGCCCTCATTCTACATTGTTTCATGGAGACCTGATGTCTGTCACAATTGTGGGTGTGACATCCAGAAGCCACAAAGTTGGCTGAGGTAAAGCCCACCTCCTTGGGGGAGTGTGGCAGGTGGCAGTTCCCCTGAAGCTCCTAGCAAGTGCTCTCATTCTGAGATTTGTGGAGGCAGGATCGCCATTTCGGACTAGGTAGAGGTAAGAGCCAGTGGCTGGTTGTTTTGATTGTCTGACCTTCAAGTTGAGCCCCAGTATCTGTCTGAGTTTTTATTAATTATGCTACAGGTGGGGCTCATCCCAATTCAGCTCAGTTTGCTAATCGTTGTCTGTATTAGCTACTCTTTTGTTGCTGTGAGGAAACACTGACAGAAACAGGAAGGAAAAGTTTATTTGGCTCCCAGTTGGAAGGTACAGTCCATCATGGTGAGAAGTTCATGGGGTCAGGAGTTCAAGGCAGCTGGTCACGTTGCAGCCACAGCCAGGAGGTACAGTGGAAAATGCTGGCTCCTTTTATTCCCTGCAGGACCTCAGCCCATGGGGTAACACAACCCACATTTAGGGTGGATCTACCTGTCAATCAACTTATTCCAGATAATCCCTCACAGGTCATGCCCAAAGGTTGTCTCGTCTCTGCAATGGCTAAAATTCACTATCAAGATGACAATCCATATTGGCCATCACACCATCCCATCACACCATCACACTCTTAAGGATACAGCATCCAGATACCACAGAATTTCACTTGTGTTTTAATAAACAAAGCTTGCCTGAGGATCAGAAAAGTAAAACAATCACACTGGCCAGCCTTATAAACCAGGTAGCAATAACACACACCTTAAATCCCAGTAGCCACACTAGCTTGCCATAGAAACCAGACAGTAATGGTGCATGCCTTTAATCCGAGTGGTGCACGCCTTTAATCCCAGCCCTAGAGAGGATTATAAAACTGGAGGAGACAGCTCTCAGACACAGTCTCATTCTGAGATTCCTGGAGGCAGGATCGCCATCTTGGACTGAGGTTGAGGTAAGAGCCAGTGGCTGGCTGTTTTTGCGTTTTGGATCTTCAGTTGAGTCCTAATTTCTCTTTCTGGTTTTTTATTAATCGTGCTTCACCCAGACTTCGCAGATGGATCCCCTAATGATAAAAATGTAGCACCATAAGGTCTAGCTAGCAGAGCACTTTCAGTGATGGAGACTTGTCAAGGCTATGTGATTTCTTTTAAGTTAGTCTTGCTTTAATGGTCTTTGTTAAAGACAGTGATCCATAGCATAAACTGTGCCATGGATTTCAGTGGGTGTCCTAGTATCGTTTTGTAGTGGACACTCACTTGGCAGCTAGATGTATGGCCTTATTATCTCCATGAACAATAATGACACAGAATAAACTTTCTCCAGGATAAACTTTCTATTTTAAAAGCTCTTTGCCTCATTAAAAGATGAATCCATAAATGTGTAAGAGCTAAAAAGAACACACTAACCACATCTTCCCATCTCATATTATGTTAAGTGTGGTCAAGCCTAAAGCCCCATGTAATCACTTAGTTTGACAAACGTTATCGAACATCCCTAATGCATTGGGCACTGTCCTAGGTGCTGAGAATACCACAGCCATAGCTGGTGTTCAATCAAACATTGACAGCTGGGTAAGGAAGTGTGGATTTATCAAGAAGGAGACAGGGGGCCTATGATCCATGAAAAATCATGGGTTTTCCCTTTTGGCATAATTTCTTCTTTATGAAAACAATGGGAGAAAAGACACAAATCTTCTAGTTCTGAGATTTTTTAAAGAAATGAACAAAATGAAGGCCTGATGGATCTTTAAATATGTTTTAATTTTATGTATGTGAATATTTTGCTTGCACATATGCCTGTGCACCACATGCATGCCTGGTGGCTATGGAGGCCAGGAGAGGCATCAGACCTCTTGATCTAGATTTACAGATGATCACTAGCTGGCATGTGGGTGCTGGGAATTGAACCTGGGTCCTCTGGAAGAGCAGCTAGGTTCTGACCACTGAGAAACCATTTCAGCCCCCTCGACTGGACCTAGTTAGCTGCCGTCCTACTCATTTGTGGGGTTAAACCACACTTCCTCCCAAGGTGTAGAACCGTCACTGGGCTGAGATTTCAGATCTTAAGAGTTGTGCAAGCCTGACTATAAATTTGTGGTGGCCTTGAATTTGCCTGGGTGGACATGTGTGGTTAAGTTGGTAGATCAGCTAAACCCAACAGTCTACCAATTTACAGATTTTCCAATTTGATTTTTCCAAATTTGTCTCCAACTCTCCGAAATACACCTACCTGCTTATTTTTATTTTTTTTTTCTGTTTCACACAGAGTTACTTAGAGCAGCATGTGACATGAATGAACTTACAGATACTTTTTTTGGCTAAATAGATAAAAGACCTCACTTCCACCTGAATTTTTTTTCTGACTATTTTGCTCTCCCTTCCTGGATTCCAGCAACCTGAGATGTTAAATAGTAAATTTAATTTTCAGATTTAACTACTTAAAGATGATAATTCCAGCTTACACCAGACTATAAAAACCTCCCAGGTAGGGTCCAGCTCTTAAACTTCCCTTGAAGCCAACCTCTCAAGCTAGGGTGAAGGAATCCATTAGGTACTGGTTGACTGAGACAGGAATCAAGAGTTAGGGATGGTACAACCGGAAAAGTGTTTGCAAGCAGAATGGCCAGAGTTCAAGCCTCAGAAGCCGCGTGAAATGAGCCAAGTGTGGTGGCACACACGCTTGTGACCTAGTGCTGGGTGACTGGAGACAGGCCGATCTCTGGGTCTTGCTGGCTGGCCAGGTTAGCCTGACTGGTAATCTGTGTCATATAGAGACCCTATCTTTAAAAACAATGAAGCGTATGGTACCTGGGATGAAGAACAGCTGGAATTTTCCTCTGGCCTCTACACGCTTGCCCTCATGACAGCATATGCATGCACACACACGCACACACACACACACACACACACACACACACACACACACATGAACACATACACACTAGGAGGTAGGTCCAAATTCAGGAAGGACCTTCCTCCACCCATTCAGTTCTCAGCAGAAGCAGAGATGTGTGGCTCATGAAGAGAAATACGTCTCATTTTGGGAATAAAACGCAGAAACTGCAGGAAGCTGCTTAATTGCTAGGCAGTGGCACTGGCTCTGTTTCTAATGTAGCTGGGTGCGACTGTGATTAAATCATCAACTGTATAAGTGGCTCCCAGTTTATACCTTTGGGACATGCACCATGGACGCAGAGGTGTGTGTTTCTGGAAAAATCGGCAATCCCCAAACATGTAGACAATGCAAGGTGCTAACACGCACTCTCCACCTGTGAAGGATGAAAGCTCGGCATTGGAATTGCTGGGGGGACACAGTTGGAGGCAGAAACTGGACACAGAACCTGTGGCATCTGAGTGCTGCCTACTTTGCCCTTGAAGCTGTGTGAAATGAAGCAGGATCAACGCGGTCAAAATGAAGAAGATGTGTTTGTTACTGAAGATCTCTGGGACTGTTTGGCTCATGCTTTCTGCATTCAGGGTGAGACAGGGCAGACATTGTCTCCGAGGAGGCACTAAGTTCGTACGCTATTTGCAATGGATGTGCTGGCCAGAAGGCATGATGGTTTCCAATAGCTGGATTGTCAGAAAACTGGCAAGGTCAGAATGTGGTCTGGGGGTCTCCTGGATCCCACTCCCTAAAGAGACACTCTTTGGAACAAGAGCCAGCACAGAGAATTACCCTGGCTGTCTCTCCTGGCAAGTCAGCTTGGGCTTTGAGAAGCCCAGACAACTGTCACAATGGCTCCAGGGCTATTTTCATTTTTTAAAACTGAGTTTAGACTTTCTGAAAAGTTGCAAAATTGTAGAGAATTTTGACATATCCTTCATCTAGTGTCTCCTAAAGTTAGCCAATTATATAAGCATTGTATAATGATAGGGAGAAGACAGCCAGTGTTCACTAGTGAAGCTCATGCTCTTACCCAGTTTTGCTAGTTTTCCACAGGAGTCCACATCGCCTTTAGTTCCTTGCTTCAGCATTTGCCAACTGCGATAGTCCCCTGTTCTCTTCCCCTTCCTTCCCTTCCCTTCCTTTCTCCTCCCCTTCCTTTTCCTTTTCCTCCTTTTCTGCTCCTCCTTTTTTTTCCCCTCTCCTCAGCTCTCCCCTTTCTTTCCTTTCAAAGTTGGTTTCCTCCTGCCTCTGCCTCCTGAGTGCTGGGATTAGAGGCGCGCACCATCATACCTGGTGATCTTGACAGTTCTGAACACTGCAGAGCAGCTGCCTTTAGCCAATCTTTAGGTTTGTGCAATAGTTTCTCATTAAGCCGTGGGGTGATGCACGTTTACAAGAACACTACAGTAAAGGTTCCGTGTACCTCTCAGGGTTGCTGGTGATGCTCTGTTGTACATGACCTTGACCTCGATCCTATGGCTAAGGTGTCTGCCAGTTTTCTCTGCTGTACAAGCAGTATTATTTCAGTATTGAGTCAGTAGATGTTGAGGGAGATAATTTGGTACTAAGTAAATTCTGCTTCTCTTCTAGGTTTCCTCCTCTGATCTTTATCATCCCCGAGAAAAGATCTGCAAACCCTGTGACTGTGGACATCACCTATTGTTATCCTGAAGTTTCCTAGCTCCCTCTTTCTGTCTGCATTTTCCAATTTCAAATTCCCAAGAAGACCAGTCTTTCCTCCCTAATCTAACAACGACTATCCTTACAAACATCGAAAAGGCAGTATGAGCCCAAGGACCGTTGTTTTATTGGATGAGTTAGAGTCCACGATTGTCATTACTCGTTTTGTGGATCAAGTTGCTCACACATTGGCTGTTAGGAACTCCTGTGGCCTGGCTGTCCTGCTTCTTAAACAGTCTTACCATTCTTAAAAATACTCTTAAAATTTGTTAGTAAATATATTTACATGATTTCCCCTTCCCTTCCCTTCCTCCAACACCTGCCACCCCCCCAACTCCCTCTTAAGTCTATGGCCTCTTTTTCTTTAATTAATACACTCCCACCCACCCCGCACAATTATATGAGTACAACCTGCTGAGCCTGTAAGTATATGATTTCTGGGATGGCCACTTGGAACTGAATAACCACTAGAGGATTCATCCCCAGGAATGACTAATTTCTCCCACTCTCAGCAGGCCTTAGATGCCTGCAGCCCTTCATCTAGGGATGGGGCCCCTTGGGACGTCCCCTGTCTATGTTAGATTGTCTATTACTATTGTCATTGTTTGGGTCTTATTTAGGCAGCAGCGTTGCTGTGGCTATAGCCCCCCCCCCATCATTTCTAGGAGATATAATTGTACGGTAGACTTTCTGTATCTTGGCTTTTACAATTTTTCTGACCTCGCTTCTGAAATGGTCCCTAAGCCTTAGGTGCGGGAGTTGTGTTGCTGATGGATCCATGGGCAGTCACAATCAGTTACTCCCTGGATTTTGGCCAGTTATGATGTCTGTGGTTGTGTCTGTATGCGGCAAAGAGAAGTTTCTTTGATGAGGGGTGCGAGCTACCTTTATCTGTAGGTAAGGATATTATCTAAATTAGATATTAGATAATAAGGGTAAGTATTTAGAATGCAGTTAGGTGTTATATCGGTCTATTGGTAGATGTGAGTGCTCCCCCAATATCTATGTCCTCATTGGCTCTGGAGTATTTGGCTAGGTTTCTGGTACCAGGCATGATTTCCCCTCCCGTTGAGCAGACCTTAAATCCAGACAGCTGTTGGTTACTGTCAAGACACGAGTGCCATATTTTTGCCCTCGCCCCTCCCAGCTCTTGGCATGATGGTCCTTGTTGCGGTTCCCAGACATCATAGTTGTGTAGACTAGGCTACTTCCCCCTTTGGCAGCTTGCCTAGCACCTTCTGGTTCTTTGAAAGCTAGTCCTCAGAGATGAGGTTTTCAGGTCAGATCCAGCTAGAATCTTCTGAGTTCTCTGTCCCAAGTACAAGGCTTCTCTTCTCTTCAGCAAGAGGAATTTACTTTCAACCTCTGGGAGACAACAGCAGACAACAGCAATAGGTCGTATTGTTTTGGGAGTCTCTTGGACTTCTCTAAACAAAACTCAAGGAGAGGTTTCTCATGCTTGATGCTGCGTACACACGCGCGCGCACACACACATACACAAAACTTCAATGCCTGAGGTGTAATTTTAGGTAAACATAAATAATACATCTGAACACACCCTAAACGGTACCATGGAGTTCCATCATCATTTTTAAATTTCAGACCCAGTTTAGTTAGAAATCAGTGAACCCACATGAGGCTAGAAGATCTGTAGTGTGGCACCTGCACTCTGTTATGGAGTGTATCAAAAGATAACAATGTCCTTGAGACCGTGAACATACTTAATGAAGGTTGGAGATGTTTCACAATGCAATTGAAAGACAGCGTGTGTCTTGGGGAGATGGGAGTGAACATCCAAATCCAAGCATCTGATGGGAAGACTTCTCTATCGCCTACAAACTGTATCTGCACCCAGAATTCCCTGTGACTCTTTACAGTGAGCAAACTGGTCACCATCTTGACTTACAGGCTCACTGCAGGGATCCAATGAGCCTTGTTTGGAAATGCTTTCAAAACTATGCGGTGTTACACGATCTGTGAAATGCTAGCGTTATGGGTTCTGTAAACACTTGTCTGTCATCCTTAGGCTTTAGAATGGGGCTGCCGGCCCATCCCATTTAACACCCATGGTTCACAGGAAGCAAGGCAGACACATTGTAGACATATTGCCAAATGTGCCCACAGCATAGAGGTAGAACCGGCTAGAATCAAAGTCCTCTAACTCCTACTGGGGGGCTCTGTCCATTACAACATCCACTGTTTAAGCAATGTTTTCATTACCAAGCCCGGGAACAAGTACCATGATTAAAGAAAAGCAATAAACTACATAGAATTTAGGTAGATGAGAGATGGAAAATAACTTTTTCTTTCAGAAATGTTATCCTAAGCTTTGTGTGTGTGTGTGTGTGTGTGTGTGTGTGTGTGTGTGTGCCTGTGTTTGTGTATTATGTGTGTGGGGGTAGGAGTACATGTGTGTACATGTGTGGGGGTGTACAGGCTTATGTGTGTGCATTTGTGTGTATGTGTGTGTGGTGGGGCAGAGGTCAACTTCAGAAGTAATTTCTCAGGAGTCATCCACTTTTGGGGCTTGTTTTTTTTTTTCTTTAACATTTTCTAAAAGTTTATTTTTAATGTGTATAGGTGTGTTGCCTACCTGTATGTCTATGCACTCCATGCATACAGTGCCAACAGAACCCAGAAGAAGGACTCATATTCTCTTGGACTAGAGTTAGAGCCAGTTTCCAACCACTCTGTAGATGCTGAGAACAAACCTGAGTCATCTGGAAGAACAGCTAGGGCTCTTAGCCACTGGACCATCTCTCCCTGTTTTAGATACAGGGTCTTTTGCTAGCCTGGAACTCACCAAAGAAGGCTAAAGTGATGGCCAGTAAGCCCCAGGGATCCTCCCATGTCTGCCTCCCCATCACTGGATCATCACAGCTGGATTTTTTTAAGGATTTATTTATTATGTTCTGTCTGTACATATGTCTGCAGGCCAGAAGAGGGCATCAGATCTCATTACAGGTGGTTGTGAGCCACCATGTGGTTGCTGGGAACTGAACTCAGGACCACTGGAAGAGCAGTCAGTGCTCTTGACCTCTGACCCATCTCTCTAGCCCCATAGCTGGGTTTTTATGTGACGTTTTGGGGGTCCTGAACTCAGATCCCCACGTTCTTCCCATGGCAAGGACTCAGCCCACCCTGCCTTCTCCCCAGCCTCTACTCTAAGCTTTTCGCCTGTTCATTTTCACCTCTTATTCTTGGATTACTAATTAGAGCAGGGGCAATTCATTTCTGCCAAAAATGGTGCATGATAAGGTATCTCCGTTCCCAGAAAACCGTTCTCTGAGTCTGGTTCTTGGAAGCGATTCCACTTCTGTTGCCGACGGGACGCCCACACACTGCAGCAAGGACAAAGTGATGCCAAACATCTGGATATTTGGAAATGGCTGGGGCTCGCCCGCCTTCCATGCCTCCTTTTCCCCTTCCAGATGTTTGAAATCATGGATACAAAGTCTCTGGGTCCAGTATATCATGGAAGAAAGGTTTTATTTAAGAAAAAAACACTGGCATTTTCATAATCTTAAGATCTAGGCCTCGTCATCTCCTGGCTGGAATATTTATTTGTTGGAAGAGACGGGGAATTTGACAAAGGTATGGGCTGGGGAGATGGCTCAGTTGGGAAGTGCTTGCCACACAGGCATACGGGATCCGAGTTCAAACCCCAAGGCACCATGTAATAAGTCAGGTTTGGGGGGCATCTAGCTATAGCGTTTGATCTTGGGAGACAACTTTAGTCTTCCTGGTGAGCTCCAGGCCCATGAGAGAGACTGTCTCGTGGAAGAAAAGTGAGTGTTCCCCGAGGAGTGACATGTGAGGTTGACATCTTGAATCAGTGAGCACCGGGCTCAGTAAGACATCTTTTCTCAAAAAGTGAGGTGGAAAGTGATTGAGGAAGAATCTGAGGTTGAGCCCTGACATCCACAAGCACTCACACGCATCCACATACATGCACATACACTCACATGTGTATACACACACGCACACATACACATACACCACCCTTAAGGAAAAGACAGTGTGTTCTTCAAAGCGTCTTGATTCCTATGTTTTTCTGCTGAGTCAACTGAGACACCTACCATTAACCTGTGTTCAGAACTCTCCTCTTCATTGGTCAATTGGCTTCTCAGGCCCTGCAGATCTGGACACTGGGCAGCTCTGTCCTAACTGCTGTCTGCTTGCAGATATGGGTAAACGATGGCATCTTTTCGATCTTGGCATCTCATCTTTGCTCACAGTAAATATGCAGGACATGCCATGATGTCCCTGAGCTGGTCTCTAGGACTCCATAATCAAGCGACCAATATACTTTTCCTTTGTGTAGCAAAACCTTTTACTTCTTTGGATTAGAGGAGTAGACTTAGTAAGAAATAAACTTATTCCCCTTCAGTCATGAGAGCTCTGACTCAAGCCAGCTCCATGTCTCAGAGACTGTCCATTTGACCTGTCTAAAACAGCGTACTGGGTCTGTCATTACAGGTGACCAATAAATGCATAATGAATAAGCAAGATCACAGGGGGAAAATATAGTATGATTTTTTTTCCTGTCCAAGTATGAGCCTGTGAGTTTCAGCTTTTTATTTCAATGGTGATTTATCAAAGTACTGGAGACAAGTGGGGGATGGGAGATTCTATTTTTGAATTATCAAATGGGCAGGGATATTACTCAAAGGACTAGAAAGAGACAGGCCAAGTATCTGAATAATTCACCAAGAGGATAATTAGCCCGGATGGTTATCGCTACCAGAAATTCCACAGCTCAGGATCCCTTTGTTCAGCCAATAGCCACAATCTGTCTCATTTCATTACATCAGATTTTTAATGAGAAGAGAAGGCGCTCATTTGTTAAGAGCTTTACTGTGTTCCAGACACTAGACTTGGTAACGAGGCCAGCTTTGTGGGTCCTCCCAAGACCCCATGCTAAGAAGGGTCCTCTGCTGACTTTGGTCCTCTGCTGTTAGCACGTGAAATGCTTCCTAACTTCGAACAGGGGTCTTCCATTTATGCTTTTCCACTTGGCCTTGAGAGTCCTTTAACCGATACTACTTACTGGCCAATTTGTTTTTCTCTATATTAAATCCTCACATGAGTGCAAGCACGTAAGAGAGTTACCCCATCTCTTCAGGGGGGCCTGGATGACTGGTCAACTTAGGGTCACACCAGAGAGCCTGGATCTGGGCTCTTGTCTGGTTGAAAAGCCTCTGAGCTCTCCTACCCTGCCCCCAACAGGCAGAGAACGCAGGCCCAGATGAGAAACCTCTCAAGCCTTATTTATTCATTTATTGGGTCAGAAATTTTAGAGGACCTAATATTTGTCCAACACTTTGTGTGTTTGTTCATTCAACAATCACATTTATCAGGTTCCTGCTCGGTCTAAGT